ACCTCACTACTACCCATGAAACTCGTGTCATGCCCCAAAAGCCTGTGCTCATCCCTCATCGTAGGCTCCTGTTGAGGGTTTCTGTTGCGACCAAAACTTGTTCTTCGGGCAAGAAGGTATCTCGGTTTGCTAGCTGCAAAGCAGCATCATTTGACTTCCGTCCTGCGCTGCGGGACGAAAAAGATCTCAGACTTGGACTTTCTGTGCTGAGCTACTACTCTCGATGAGGGAACGTGGAGTCGAATCGTTGAAGGCACCTTCGGATTAGTTAGACCTTGAAAGGCCGCAGAACACGTCGGGAAAGATTTATTGCACGTCCAGACCATAGAAGTACTCTCTCTCGCTCTCTCTCTCTCTCTCTGTCTCTGTCGATTTGCCTATCCATCTATATGTGAGTATAGTTAGGAGTATTAAAGCATAGACACAGTAGACAACTACTGTGGACCCTCCCCGAAACCCGAGAAGTCTTGCAAGCTGTACACGAGCCGTAAAACTTTGGAATCTGGAAACTTAGGGCGTGCAAATCTGGAAATCTGTATTCTGGAAGCCTGGGGCATGCAAAAGCATGAGCTTCAGCTGCAGCCGGAGCGAGCATCATGAACATCAATCGGTTGCGGGACTGGTGCCACCAGGTCTGTTCAGTTCCCCTCCAGCCGAAGTTTTGAGCCAATGAGTGCTTATCAAAGGGTCTTGTGATAAGGAACAGGTGATGAGTGCGCAGGCAGCTGTACACAATCAAGCGTGACTTCAGGCCTACTGATCTCTTGCAGTACACGAAGCCATGGACAATTTCCAGTTGAGTTGTAGCTTATTGAGTAACGGAATCCCATCAGGAAACTACTGGCAGAAGAATAGCCTTTAATATACCTTATAGAATGCCCCTTCTATATACATTTGCAAATTTTCATATAGAATACCCTGGGTAATGCTATATAGAATTACCTTGCAAAAATCTTTAGCCTATAGAATACCTTATAGAGTTCGTTTCTCTATATACACCCTATAGACTACAGTTTAAACAATACCTTATGGAATACCCTTTAGATACCCTATAGCATGCTCATACAATACCTTGCTTTTCTCTTATATACCATACACAAGCCTTACAGAATACCATCTGGAATACTTTTTAGAATGCCTTATAGAAAACCGTCTACGTGATACCCCCGTATGCCTTTAGCGGTGAAATTCGGAGGAGCCCAAGATCTTGTAGCCTATTGAGCAAGGAACTTCTATGAAAGACTCGAGGAATAAAGGACAATAGCCTGTGCATGACCTTGCAGGATACCTTTTCTACCAACCTTATATCGCAGTTTCTTATAAAAATACGGTAAATATAGAATACCCTCTATATGCCTTGTATATACCTTGTTGAATAACAGCCGTGTATACCCTGCAGAATACTCCATAATACCCTTAAGTATATTTTACAGAAAAAACATGTATATAAGAAACATCGGGAATCAGCCCAAGATCTGAGAATTCCGCAATTAGTAAGGGATTCGTATGAAGAAACTGCAGAATCTAGGATCGAAGAACTCTTTGAACAAATCGAATCTTATCTAGAGATCAAGATGTCTTATAAAATTCCCGCTGTACATACACTATAGAATACCTTCTGCAATACTTTGTAAAATAACCTAATTATGGAGTACCTTTAGACTACCGTGTGGAATACGTTATACGATTCCCCCGATATACCCTACCTAGACCATTTAGCATACCATCTGGAATACCCTGTAGAATACATTTTTGGGGACCGCCTATAGATGCTACCCTCTGTATACCTTATGTATGCTATATAGAATACCTATAGAATACTTTCTAGGATACTTGTCGAAATCCCCGATTGAATACCCTAAAATGTGCCCTATAGATAGGGATTTTCAACATGGAAAACCAGAGGGAGCCGAAAAACTGAGAAGTCCCCAATTGAATTTGTAGCTCTGTGGTATGGGACTCCCATGAAGAAAATCAGGAACCAAGATAAATAGCTTGACAACTAGAATACCCCCTCTATAATGCCTGAAAGAGTTTCATCTACCCTATAGACTAAAGTCCGAAATAAAGGCCACGTTATGGAGTACCCTATAGACTACTTTATAGAATGCCCTATAGAATACCATCTGGAATACGCTGTAGTAGAATACCTTGCAGAAGACTGCCTATGTAATATGCCTTCTTTTTGCCTTAAATTAAACATACCTCATAGAATATCCTCTAGAACACCTTTTGGGATACCCTTTAGACTACTGTATAGAGTACCCTATAGCATACCCTATGGACAACGATTTAAATAACGAAAATCAGGAGGAGCCCACAGTGTAGTAGCGCAGGTTCACAACCGAAATGCAATGTGCAAAAACACGAGGTTTTTGAACACCACAGCAGATGACGTGCTATACCTTCCAACAGTTTCGGCCTTCCGACTACATGAAGTCTTATTTTGTTGGCCGAAAATAGGCTGCAGATTTATCGATGTATCGAAACCAGATGCATAGCAGGAGGGCTGTATGTATTCGACGATAACAGCGGTTAATTATATCGATATTTTCGGCGGTTTCTGTACTTATGACTGACACGTATGTGTAACGAAGCATGAGATGGTCTGCAGCCTGCAAGTGTAGATCCGGGGGGAGGGGGTGACTATCTATATCTATATATATATATAATATGTGTGTGTGTGTGTATATATATATACACACATAGAGACACATGTCTCAATGCTTCGCCCCGAAACTTCCTTCCGAGGAAGCTCGGCAACTTTCCCTCGGTGGCTGCATTGTTGGCTTGTGGGGTGGTCTGGTGCCCAGGGAGACATCCAGGGCCACGTTGCGTTTATCGGGTTTAGGGTGTACGGGTCATATAGGGGTCGGAACGTTTCGCAGAAATGTCCCCTTGCAGTCCTTGGTATGAATCTACTGTCGTAGTTCCAAAAGCCTACTCGACTTGTTGAGTTCCTTGTCGTGCTGATTGCTTTTGGTTGGGGGCCCTGTATGTTCAAAGGTTTATCGGAGATTGTAGGTGTTTTCAAGACTTGTTCTCTGTAGGATACTGGGGGTTCCTTGTTCAGGGCTCCTCCTGTTTAGGACCCCAAGTTCAAGCTCCATGTAATGGTCCCCGATTGTCTGAACACCCATTGGAGAAATCGTAGGGCAATACCAAGTTTGTCATTCCTCTAGGTGGTCGCGGTGATGTTTTGTCATTTTTTCCCCTTATTGGTTGAAGAGGATGTGTCTGAAGACTTGTTCAGGGCCTTTACTGGGCCGACTTACCACAGGTGCTCGGGATGCCTTTTACTTTGGAATAAATTCCCCAAGGTTTCCCTTAAACTTTGTAAGCTTCGTCCCAAAACTACCAAAACGCTGTTGGGAGCCAGGGCTGCTGAAGACAGGCCAACACCTCAACGTCCCAAGGACCAGAACCTAAGCAGGACAAGCGCTCGTGTTGTTTCTTTATTGGGGAGAGCATGCTTTTTTGAGGTCAGGGTTGTAGAGCTCCTATTGCAGGGAATTGGGGGTGCTACGGGTTGAAGAGGTTGGGTTAAATTAGGAAACTGAGCTGACTGTAGGTGTTCTGCGTTTAGGGTTCTTCGTTTGGGTTCAGTGTTTCGCAATCCGGGTTCGCGTGCTGCAGGGGCACACAGAGAGATGTTTCTCTGTTGCCCTAAACTTCTACAACAGCCCATGTAGAACCCAATGAAAACCTCGTAATAGGCTTGAGAGAGCAGTTCTTCTCGATCTCCAGCCTCCCGCGCAAACCTGTACTCTACGACCCGGAGGGCATTCAAAGTATAAGCAACTTGAGTTAACAGCCATGCGAATCAACGTGATAATACAGGGTCAGAGGAAATAGTCCCCTTATGCTCCCCAGATAACTTGCGCGGTGCCATGCCGTTGTTTATAGTTAGTTTGGAGCCCTATCGATGTAAATTCTACTCAGAGGATCATGGGACCTAGGTCCAGCAAGCCATAGCCCAGTCTAGGATACTTGAAGCCTTACTACATCCCCTTAAATCCACCCAACTATAAATCCAAAGCCTCAAACCCTAAGCCCTAAACCCTAAACCCTAAGCTTTAAACGTGTTTAACCCTAAACCCCCCGAAACCCACCGCGCCGAACCCGGAGATGCTCAGGTTCCCACGGGATTGCACGAAGCCGTGGACCAGGTGCCTTCTTGTTACCTGTGGTTGCTCTTTATAGGCTGCCTGAATTCGTTAGAGGGTTCGAGGGGGATTACTGTAGTAGAATTTTGGTGTTTTAAGTAGGGTACCTGAATCGTTGGAAGAGGATTTGAGGGGATCTCCAGAATCGTTAGAAGAGTCTTTGGGGGGAGTAGACTTTGCTAGAATTACGGCATTTGACAATGACACTTGAATCGTTAGAAGGGTGTTGGGGGGAATACAATACTAAAGTTATATGGGGGCTATTAGGGGCCACTGTTGGTGACCTAAGTAAGTGTCCACATGGCTCAATAGGTAGGTGTTTGGGTTTAGGATAGTGGAAATCTAGGTAAGTTTTTGTGGAGTATGCTCTTAGTTGGTACTTGGACCGCGCGGGATGTGGTTGGCGACTTGTGCGTGCATTTTCTGCCGCCGCCATCGTTGCTGGTGATTGCCATCACTTGTAGGTGCCAGTGGTTAGTGGTCGTGCCAGCAAGATGCAAGTCATAGTAAAGTGACACTTCACATAGCACTGGTGGCTGCAATAACACCAGCAGTTGCAGCTGTGGCTTGTTATTGTGGCGCTGCGATGCTACTAATGCAGTTCACGTTGCTGACGTTGCCGCCCTCTCGTTTGCGAGTGGTGCTGCTGTTGCTGTTGATCCTGCCGCTCTGATTTCTGTTGTTGTGCCTTGGCTGAGGGTTTTTCAGCTTGAGGCCCTTCGTGATTTTGGCAGCTTGCTGTTGGTGCTGTGCGGAATTGATGTGCGAAAAAGCTGAAAACTTAATTCTAAGCCCCCGATTCGTAAGCCGCAGACCTCCGGCGATTGGATTTAGGCTCAGGCCCTTCGATTCGAAGGGCTTCAGCCGCAAGCTTAGTTCGTCCGAAGCCGTGCTTGGCCGGGCCTTTCAATCTGTGCTCTGATTCTGATGATGTCGTCTCTCTTTTTTTGGGGGGGAGGACATGCAATGGCTTCATTCGGGTTGTTGTTTTTTAAGGGTTCTCTCTTGTTGTGTTTTATGGCTGTTTGGAGGTCCATCGGGTTTCAGAAGGAGCTGTTGATGGTTGTAAAGCAGTTCGAGAAAGATGGGGTCCCTTCTGAGTGGGTCGTTGTGATCCGGATGTTCTTGAAACTCCCACGTTTCCAGAGACTTCAAAACCATTGAGTCTCCCGATGGTCTCCTGTTATTGTTGGGTGGTGGTCCGTCTCTTCCGGGACCCAACCGCCACTGCTATCGACGCCAAGGACACCGGGGATTTGATTGGAACTCTAATCGCCGAAAAAGGCATTTCAGAACCGTAAAGACCTGACCTGGACCTGGACCCCCAACTACCCCCCATTGAGACCTCAACTGTCCGCCACTCAGGGCTCGAAGGCTTCATTGAAAGATATCATGGGAAGGTTACTGGAAAAAGTTGAACCCTAACTCTAATGCCCGCTAGACTCTAAACCATAGACCCTATTCTCCAAGTTGCAAGCCCCAATTTTTAGATCCTACAGTCCAACCCCTATTGCGCCTAAGGCCATGGGCAGCTGTGAGTCGTTCTTCTTTGGTCCAGAGCCCGACGAAGTGAACGGCGCGTGGCACGGCGGCATAGACAACTTAGCTTTGGTGTTCTAAGGAGTTCATACAGGGATTTGGGTATCGGGTGTTTGGACAGGCCATTTGGGGGGCCTGGACGAGAGCGGCGGAAAGACTTCAATCAGACAAAACAGGATGACTCGTTAGAGGCGCCGATACAGCGTGTCGCTTGGAGCGTTTGGCGGCCAAGGTGTGTTGGTTGTTTTGGAAGTTCACCCCATGATGTCGTGATTTTGGATTGAGGGTGCAGGACTTTGAGCTGCTCGGTGGTCTCGCAACAATCTGGACTTGAGGATATTGCGTGCAGAGGGTTGACAGACAGGCCTGCGGAGCCCAGCACTTCATGAACCCCACATGTGTAAGGGAGTTCGCATGCTTGGAAGCTCTATTGACTCGGTAGTCAATGTAGCGGTAAGGTGGCGTACCAGGGGGGTCATTTTATGCAGACTTCATTGGTCAGACGATTCTCCGAGTAGGCTTTGAAGCTTTATATTGGAGTTTCAAACGATAGATGACCCTTACATTATGTAGACCGTAAGCAGTAGGATTGCTCTTGTACAGGACCTCCAAAACGGAATCCCTACATGCAATTCCCCTAAACCCTATCATCCCTGAACCAGGGTTTCGGAAGCGCACCCTAAACCCTAATCCCTAAACGGGGTCTCGGAAGCGCGTCGACACAGGAATGGGCCGATCCGAAAAGGCATGAGAGTGACCCTGGGCAAAGTTTTCAGAATGCTTGCTGTTTGGAGTTTAGGGTTTGGCGCGTTTGGAGTTTAGGGTTTAGTGCGTAGCTCCACACACCAATCCGTGTAGTTGAATATCCCTTTTGATCATGTGTTGAGTTCACCGTGGTGTAGCGGCTTTACAGCCTCCAGGGTTCAGGGTTGGAGCCTTCAGGGTTTAGCATGTGCAGTTGCGGAGGGATGGGTAAAACCATAGTCACTATAAGACTATAAGTCCTAAGGGAACGGTTTACAGGAGCCCTTGCAAGAAACCCAAAATCGTTGTTAAAATGCGGTTTTTGAAGTTGGGATAATTTGGTTCTTGGTGTGCGATTGGGCCAGCACCTGATTGAGCATCGGCTTGGGTTTGATAGGGTTCTTGAAGAGGCTTGTTTGGTTCTATAAATGACATCCGGGAGCTTACCGTCATGCTCCCTTCCAGAAGGAATTGTGTGCCCATCAGGGTCTACACGCTACATCATTTTTCTGAACATGCGCCTTTCGTGCACAATCAGCCTTTAGGCCTTGTAGCTGAGCACTTAGGGCATAAGTCAGAGTCCAGAGCGGATCTCGAATCTGTACTTGCATCATGCCCCAAAGCTTCTGATTTCTTGGACACTCAAAACAACCTGGGAAGAGCAACCATAGCTAATCATTACAGTATCCCTTCTTAGTCCATCTACAGTTACATGGCATTACAGTACTATTAATACATTCAGAATGTTACACAGGGTTCTAATTGTATAGTTCCTACGGGATGCCCAGTTTCGATAAACGGCCGATACTTTCAAAGGTTTGGATCTTCCAAGGTTTATTTTGTTTAAGGTCCATCAGAGTTCAGGGCTAATCGTGTTTTCAAGGCAAAATACGACACTGGTGCTACAGAGGACTGACCAATGCCTCAAAGACCAGGCAAACTCAGTGGACCATCGCAGAAGGAGGCGATGGCCGATGGTACATGGGCACCATCAAAAGGCTCGCGTAGTTGCTTTGGATGCTGGGATGATCTGGTCATCGCAGTTTAGCACGGGCTTCGGTGCGTACTCTCCTTAGACCCCCTATTTGGCTTGAGCTCCGACCTGAAACCTCTGAGAGCCGGGAGGCTCTACAATGGCAACAAGTGCAAAATCAACTACGACGATGGCCACTGGGAGAAAAGAGGCTTCAGGATTCCGGGTTTAGGGTTTAGGGCCTGCTTTGCGAAGTGTTGCTAAGGCAAGCACACAGACAAACTCTGTTCCGAAACCTAGAGTCAGAGGCTGCCCAAGCACAAAAATTTCAAGATGCCGCGTCAGGGAAATACGGGGCCAAGATGAGACATTCGCATAGCTTGCCACAAAAGCGCGACCTGTCATTACTCCCGAAATTTGGGCACTAAGCTCCAACTCGACAGACGTCCCTCCCGCTTCCAGCTGCTCTTCCTGCTCTGCCAGGTTTTTGACGTGGTACAGGGCTTTTCGGTTCTCGTTTCAAGAAGCCGCTAGCGACTTTCTACTCTTGCGGGCAGCCTTCGACCCTCTTAGCCGCCTCAACTCCCCTAAACCTCAAAAACTGGAGAAGTAATGTCCAGAACATTCCTGAACCCTACAACCCCGAACGAACATCCGATGTCCTAAGTGGCCCCCTACACACACATTGCGGGTTTAGGGCTAAGGTGTGAAGTAACCTTTTTCTAGAAAGCTCAAAGCACAGGCGACTCCTGGACCGGGAACGCGCGGGAGGTCTTCGACTTGAATGGGCAACCACCGGCCACGTGGCTGAACTGCTGTGCTACAGGGGTGCTAAGAAGACATGGAATGATAATGACAAGCACCGTTGTGGTGATTACTATGATCATCAGCACTATTGCTATTCTTCCTCTTATTACTCCCAGTAGTATCAGCTGCAGTAGCAGTAGTAGCAGTAATAGCAGGAGTAGTAGTAG